TCATTCTATGTATTATAGATTTCGAGTAAATCAATGAAATGTAAAAACACTGCTTTTTCGAGCATTTTTTAAAATTTGAACTGAAAATACAGCCAAACAGTTAAAACCATAGTAATATATCGATACTTGCTAGATTCCCCAAACATTCAGCTTTCATATGCATCTTTTGGATTCATTCTATCTATTATAGTTTTCGAGTAAATCAATGAAATGTGAAAACACTACTTTTGCGAACGTTCTAATTTCAATTTTTAACTTTGAACGCGTATTACAGCAATATCGATAAGAGCACAGGAATGTGTCTATACTTTAGCAGATATTTGGAAAATTGCTCACTGCTACTAATATTCCCAGGGACTCGCGCCTCACAGTTTGGAAAACGCTGCTTTAGAAGATTGACTAAGACTAATTCTAAATACTTATTTTACTTACAAAGTTAATTCTTATTAATACGGACGGGGTGGGAGTTTGAGTAAGGCACGGTTTGGAGAAGACGTTGCGCTTCAGGTTACTGTTCTCCGTGGGATCTGTCTGTTTTCTTATCAGTTGAAAATACGAAGAACGCTGCAAACGGTCACTTCTTCCGTGATTAATGACCTATAATAGTCCTCAATCCTACCCAAAACTTTAGTGGTTGGACACAACAGAACAATCAATTTGATAAATGTGATAATTTCGAAAATACTTACCAAGAGCATATAAGTTTGGTATAAAAATTAAAGACTGAAATGTTTTAAATTTATACGTTTTTAATCAAAATAATCCTCTATATCTACATCAGGATTAAGTAAATCTTCTTTAAAACTAGACAAATCTATCTGATTGAGGATCAAGTTCTCGCACATCTCTTCCAAGTCGGTCTCACCTATGAGTACGGCGCCGTGAAGACGACCATCCAACAGGACCAACTTGATGTACTCCACTCCTTTCGTCATCCTAAAGATGATCTCGTAGTTCTTACCAAGCTTCTGCCCGTTGTACAACCCAAGAAGCACCACTTTATACCCGAACAGCTTGGTGGTGTGAGTGAAGAGCTCGAAGCAGAAATCTTGAAGAACCACCTCGTCTTTATTGGCGGAAGACATGGATTTCGCGGCGTAGCATCCCATCTGTCTGGCCTGCGTCCACAGCTTCATAGGAAACCATTGCTTCGCGTGTTCCCAATCGGCCGTGCACAAATCACCGGCCACGTAGATGTTCTTCACAGAACTCTGCATGAACTCGTCGACTTTAATACCTTTATCCTCGGACAATTCCAAAGCGGTGGTTATCTTAAAATCGGACATAGGTTCGACTCCTGTAGCTGAAACTATGAAATCGCACTGTATTTTACCACCGTTATTCAAGGTCACCTCTACAGCGAATTCGTTCGCTTCGTTCACGGAAACCTCAACGATTTCCGTCTGGTAGTGAATATGGACTTGTTCCGAGAAACAGTCTTCTATGCCTCCTTGGATCTCCAAATGCTTGTACCAATCAGGACCCAACGCAGCACCAGCCCTCTTCACGTTACCATCGCATTCGTACCGCATTCTCTTGGAAGGTCCAAAATCCGACGTCTTTTGTAGTCGAGTTCTTAGAAATTCCGCGGCTCCAGGATCTATGAACGTTGCGGAAATATGGTCATCCTTTATGACCCAATCCACGTGGATCTTCTCCATCTTATAAACCAATTCCGATGCGATCCCACCGTTTCCGACGATGACAACCCTCTTGGACTTCCCCAATTTCGCCAAGAACTGCTCCACAGAATCCGTGTCTCTGATCCCGATTACATAAGGATTATTATCGGCGATCAATTTCGGCCTAGCCCCCAAGCACAAGCACAGATATTTATACTTGATCCTCTTATTGCCCATCGTTTTCACCACGTTACATTCATCCAAAATCTCAATTAAACTATCTTGTATGACCGTTACATTAGGATGCTTATCACTTAAAGTGTTCATGTGTTTCTCCTCAATATCGAAACGCGTTAATGTCTGCGTGATAGCTAGCAAATTAGTGACTGACTTGATTAAAGAAGATTGACTTAATAGTATTATACTTTCGTCGGGTTCGTAGAAGGCCAGCGTTTCCGCGCAGGTGACTCCAGCAATTCCGCCTCCGACCACGACGAACGTCGCCTCCATTACTTCCTCTGATAGTGACTGTAGTCGTATTCCCTGAAAGGCACGTCGAACGGAATCAATCCCAGATCCCTGGCCCTCAGCACAGCGACAGTCAACTTCTCGTGCGACTTCTGACACAGCCCAGTCTCGGTGTAACTCAGTATGCTGCCAGTGTGTGGGCAAATGAATTGCTTCAGCAAATCAATATTCTCCTCGTGCAACACCAAATACTCGTCCCTGCAGATTGGACAAGGGTTACCAGTCGAGATGGTCTTGGCCCTGATGCAAGTTCTCCTTGTCTTCTTCGGAGGAAACAGACCGGCGTGATTCCTTCTGTACAACGTCCACACAGGATCCTCCCCGTAGGTTTTCGTGTACGCTTTGCTTTTCAGATACCTTAAGCTAGTCTCCAATGGGATCTCTTCGCTGCGATCTTTGTTGATCCCATGCAAGGTTAGCAGTTGCTCTGGGGGCTTCTTGCTTCCCAAACCTGGTAGAGATGTATGCAATCCGCGTCTCAGAACCGCTTTAATTAATGTGCTTTGTTTGGAAGCGATGGCAAACATTATTAGTGGATATTGTATTGTTTAAAATTAAGGTTAAATTTCTTTTTTTAATTATAGGTTAGATCAAAATTTGACAATAGCAGAAAAATAATAAAAGTCCATTACCAACATGAAAATATTTACATCTTCTACCATAGATTATTCATTACCCTAAAGCACATATTCTCATGATTTTTTTACTTATTAAAGCATATGTAACTAAAAATTAGATTAATACAGTTTAGTTATACATTTAATTAATAAAGAAGTCACGAAAATTCAATAAATTTGAATGAAAAACATAATATTTAGGTGATTAAAATGTAATAAAAGATTGCAAATTATTGTTTTTCTTAAATTAACAAGTAATTTTAACGTATATACAGTAGTATAGTTATCTGAGGAATTTAATTGATATAACTATTGTTTAATTATTATGTGACTTGTTCCTGGTAATTGGGTTTCTACCAAGAATTAGAATTAGAAAGTTTCCTCTTTTTGAACTGTGAGCGTGTGGAGAATAAGAAGAAGAAGTAGAAAGTAGTTGGTATTTACGGAAGTCGTTGGTAGGACTGCAGGCGTGGTTCGTGTGGAATGGTACGCCTGGAAAGCGTCATTTCCGCTCACTGCATGTAGAAGTAGAAGCTGTTTTATACGCTTCTCCCGTGTAAAACGCCATACACAAAGAGCAATAATTTTCATTTTTGCGAAATCGATAATCGTTTTAACTTGTACCAAAAAAAAAAACACACAAAAAAAAAGAGCGCCATATCAATTGCAGTCACGAGTAAAATTAAGAGTCACGAGAGAACTGGGAAAACTGTCAGAGGGAGCGAAATTGAAAAGAGATATTTCTGAGAAAGGCAGCAGCCATAGAAGGCCCGATTTTTGGGTCCATGCATCCATCGCAGTACGTCAATGGAGGCCAGGGCGTTGGTCGTCGATTCAATTGACGAGACTCAGAAAGAGTCGTCGTTTTGGTCGTTGTAGACCAGCAGCCTGCATGAGGAAGGAAGGAAATCGTTTTCATTATCGCCGTTTATTGTAAGAGAAATCCTCATGCGAGAAGAGGAAGCCGTCTGAATATTTGGGGGACGACGAATCCAATCGATCCCGTGCACCAGAGAGCTGCAGCAGCCACCGTGGATTTCGTAGAGAAAAATTCAGATCCCGAGATTAAGATAGAAACATGGTAAGGGCCCGTTACGACATTTAACATGTAACCAAAAATAAAGTACTTCTCATTGTGTTTTTATATTTCCGATTACTATATATACTATATACATGTGTATATAAATAATCAACAAACATTGCGTGTACACAATCTGTATTCTCTATTATTCATATGACAAACAAAAAAAAAGAGAAAGATTGCAATTAGTATTAAGCATAAGAGAATTAAAGAAATTAAAGAAAATTGCGATAATAAGTAGGCATTGACTGGGGCGGTTGCATATGTTTCATAGATCCAGGGCACGCGGCCGCCATTAAACGAGCGAGAAAGAAATGAACAAATAAAACGAACGTTATTTTTCTCCGATGACGTCATCTAAGGTGAACGACACGTTTTCAAGGCGTAAAATCGAATTTTCCCCCCTTTTCTCGTTACATTTTTTTACAACTCGATGAATTTTCCTCATCGACATTCATTTTACTATATTAGTAACGCCTACGTTTATTTGGAAAATTTGTGTGTTTTTCTTTTTTTAGTTGTCAGGCGCGAACAAACATCCATCATACATCTGTCATTCGAGATTCGCATCTAATATCATCTCTGTTATTTTAATTTATCATTTTTTTCTGCCCTTACAGCCAAGAATTGATCCACAACAGCTCTTGCACTGTTTGCAAGTGCTCCTGACACCAACCGGAGGTATCCTTTCCAAAGATGAGGTGCAGCGGCTAGCAAAGTGAGTGTCATTTCATGTTTTTCCTCCATTTTCCTGTTACAATTACATAACCTTTATGTCATCACCGCAAGCATGCAATATCCTTAAAATTATAATTTATACTAATGGTTTCCAACTTTCGAACATTGCTTCTTGGTTCTAGTCTGATGACAAAATTCTCCAAAAAGCTAGTCAGCAAGTGTATATATGTGTTGATACTGAAGAACACGGACAAACAATTATTGGGTTCCTTCATGGGTGAGGGTGGCTGGAACCTGATTCACATCTGGCTCCAGGATGCCCACCTCAACAAGAATTGGGCCCTCGTCACTGAGGTGCTGGAGTTGTTGCTCATCACGCCGGTGGATGTGGAACGCCTTAAAATGAATAACCTGCCCAAGCTCGTCAAGAGCCTGACGAAACGCGACGATCTACCAGGTTAGTGATCTACATAATGCACCTTCTTACTAATGGCCGAGTATGCTAAAACCTTGCATGTTTATTATTTCACCCATATAGGGATCCAGCAGCTCGCCTCATCGCTGGTGGAGGAGTGGCTGAAGATAGTGAAAGATGTAACGAAAGCGGAAGCTGCCTTACAACAACAAGCACAAGTACCTGTACAAACGATACACGTTCAGGCTCAGCAGGTGGTGGACGCGACGCCGGAGCCGATGGACGTCGTCGACGCCGCCGCAACCGAAGAGCCGCCAAGTGATACTAGCCTTAAATTAAAAGTTTCTGTGAAAGACGGTAAAGTGATTAGTAGTAAATTAGTTCCTACCGGTGAGGAAAACATCGTACCTGCATCAAACAACGTTGAGGCGGCGGCAATCAAGGATGACGATAAAGAGAAGAAATCGAACAATCATGATAGAAAGCATAGGAGCAGTAGCTCCAGCTCATCGAAGAGCAGCAGTAGCAGAAGCTCAAGAGATAAGAGTAAGAGCAGTAGTAGCAGCAGCAGCAGCAAAAGTAGCAGTCGAGACAAGGATAGGAAGGATAAGCATAGAAGTAATGGATCGTCAAAGCATAGGAGTAGCAGCAGTAGTAGTAGTAGTGGTAGTAAGAGTAGCAGCAGTAAGGATAAGAAGGAGACCAAGGAGAAGCAAGCAGAAAAAGACAAAGATACCTTATCGAAAATTCAACCACAAGCTCTGCAGAAAGTTGGCAGGATACCCAAGAAGCTGGATGAGAAACCCAAGTCTTCATCATCATCATCTAAAGACGTGAAAAAGGATCAGACGAAGAAGCCGACGTTCTCAGTGGAAGTGCGCAAAACCAATGAGGAGAAGCCGAAGACTGTGAAAATATTCAACTCGAAGATGCGATCGACGGGGCTGCTGGAGGAAGCGAAGCCGCCGCCGTCGCGAACATCGGTGACGAAGAAACCGACGCCGACGTTGCCCGCAGTTCTGCCGTTGAAGAGGCCGTCTCCGATCCGCGACCTGATCCCGCCGCCCGAGAAGAAGTCCCGCCTGATGGACGCGCCGGCGACGAACCCGGAGCGACCCGGCGCGATCAAACTGATCCCGCCGAAACCAAAACGTAAGGAAACCCTTCTCGCCCTTCTAACAGATCTTTTGTTTTTACAGGTGTTTCCCGTTGGAGGACGGACTGTGTGGTGGTGGCGGCGGAGGTGGTGGAGTGCGGCTCCTCCTCACCGTCTCGTCGACATTTGCTATCCATATGCAACGGCAACTGGACAGACTTTGTTAATTTGTTTAGGCTTTTTAAAACTTTGTTTTTAAAAAATGATTGGTTTTGGTATTGATATATCTAAATTGAAAAAGAGAGTGAGTGGAACAACAACAACAACAACATATCATCACGTATATATAACTTTTATTTTTTATTATTATTTACTACTTTCGAAATACTTTTTTCTCTGCTCGTAATATTTCTATTACTTTTTGTTTCTTTTTTTTTTTAAACATTTAGGTGAAGTGTTTTCTATGAGAACGAGAAATGTTTTTAAGCGAAATGAAAGAGAGAGAAAAATATGATAATGATTTTTATATTAGACGCGTTGGTAAGTTTTGTTAAAGCTAATGAGAATATCGACACACGTAAAATATTTTTATTTTATTTTTTTTTTTTTTTTTAAAAACATATACTATATATGGATGAGATGAGATGAGATGAAAAGAGTGAGTTACTGGTGAAATAAATAGAATTCGATCTGAAAACATTGATATATCTATATATTGATACACAACACTTGTTGCGAAGCATTAATGAATCTAAGGCCCTATCCTACTTTATATATATAAAAACATTACATTATATAATTAATCGAGTGAGAAATAGAGAGACCGAATGTGATGGAGAATACAGGAGTGTGTCAGTGCGAGAGAGAGAGAGAGAAAGGGATGGATTTGCGAATGGAAATGCTTGAAATCGGCCCGCGCCAAACAATACTGAACTTCGATGATTCAGGCAGGCGTATGTTTGTACAAGAACAATTAACTTGTTATCACCGCTCGCCCAAGACCAATAACACTTGCGTTTTCTGCAAATGCGCGCCTCCACTAGCAACAACTAACTTATTACATTACAACTTACATAATCGGACACTTTCCGTAAACATGAAACATGATCTTAACAATTGGCAAAGTACAAACACTCTTATTTCTTAAGCCCTCTTAACACACTGTCGCACAACACCGTTCATTACAGAAAACTCGATCTAAGTTAGATCCAGACTTTCAATAGACATATTCAATCAATAGTTTGCGCTTAAATCTTCGACAGTTACAGTTAAGCAAAATTTACTTCACATTTGAAATCGGTGCATGAATGTTTTTATCTGTGGAGTAAAATTACGAGTACAGATAGCGAGCATTTTCTTTTCTTCTAATCCAAGTGAAAAGTGTTTAGTTTTACATTTCGGAAGCATGCAATTTTCATCATTGATGATGACTGCGACGATCATCATCATCATCTCACGATTATTATCATCATCATCAGTGATTAAGTGTCTGCACTAGACTTATACTGGACTGTCCACCTACAGAAACCATAAGATCGAGGCCACCGACTCGTGTTGACTTTGACTGTTAAGTGTAGCCTCCTTTTAAATACACGTCGAAATACATTTGTTTCAGTATTAGCGATTAGCGCCGATTCACGCCGAAAACGACAAAGTGTTTCGTCGACATTTATAAATCGTAGTGTGCTCGAATTAAGTGAAAAGTGAAACTTGTACATTTCGCGCAATTCGCGTCTTCAGATTCATAATGATTTCGGATGTTGTTTCATTTGAAAATGCCGCCAATCTCCAAGAACCGTTGCGCAACATTACGCAAATGATAAAAAACGTATCTTTTTGGATCACTTTTCTGCGCTTTTCATACGATATAAAACATATCTGTTATGGAATTTTAAAATTCAAAAGTAATGCATACTTTATGAATTTCAAAATAGTAAACGTGCGTTATCTTGAGCAAAATTCAAATTTCAAACAGTATATCTGAGACAACTTTGTCTTTAATTGTTGTCAACATTTTTGCAAATACGTTCAATTCATTGAAAAAAGGCTTCGAAATTGTAATTGCGCTCGTGTTTCAGATCGAAAACTAATTTCACTTTTCGCTTGGTTCACTTCACAGTTGACTGTATCTGTATAATAGCCTGATCTTTTTTTTTTTGTTTGTTTTCATTCTGTTCTCATGATTGTGTGCTGTAATTGTTGTCCAGAAATGTTAGATTTAAGCAACTTTTGGGGTGGTTTCTTACTTTGTTCTAACATTACTTGCCTGTTATTGTTTTCGCAACTTGCGAAAACACTTTGGTGCTTTATCTTCTAGTGGTTACAGTATTAATTTACCTCTTTCACTCATTACATTGTATTATATAATTACTTTTGTCAAGTATTAATTTTTTTTTAGATACGCTGTACCTGTTTTTGTATAACTGTTAAAACTTTGCTATTTCGCTCGGTCTTCTCCTGAAAACGTTTGCTAACACTGTTGTTTCTCTCTTTCGATTAGTTTGCATTTTTTTGATTTGATTTCTAGAGTACACCAAAGGCGCTAGACTTCTCTATTATTATTTTTTTTTTCTAAAAATTTATTCTTCGTAGCCGAAATCGTTCTTCCAAAATCGACGCCTCCTTCTTATTCATATAGATTTTTTTTTTATCATATTTATTTTATTTCTCTCTTTTATTTCTAGAATCTCAATGGCGGAAAGCGTGCGCTTCATTCTTTTGTTTTTGTTGCCGGGGAAACGAATGCCTCTTTCACGTATGTGCCTACTGAGCTTTATGCGCCCAAATTTCAGCGAACCAATGTATCTCCACCCC